GACCTGGATGTCCGAGAACCTTCACAGACACAAACAGAATTAACCTTTGGTATGCTTGTTGCTTCATCATATCAAAGCTGCCTCACATAATATCCTTATCAAAGGTGGGTCACAGCTGATTAGGCTGAAAGGGAATCATTTCAGACACAGCATAGCAGATGAAACTGTGTGGCTGTAAATTCATGTTCCAGATACAAATATTTTGTCTCCACATTGAATTCACACGTAAAGTGTCAGGCGCCGTCTGAGCTGTGCGTGTGAGATGAACCTCGCCATCAAGCTGGATCAATGAGGCCTTAAAGTGCAATATCAGTGAAGGCTGCTATAGCCAATGACTCTCCAGTGTCTTTGGCTCCAATGGACCAATGTTTTAACAAATACAAAGGAAAGCAAACTTCTGTCGGGAAATGAAGCCGTTATGAATTAGGATTACTCTGAACCCTAATCCTAACTGTAAGTCTCATCATTGCTGGTTTAAAACAACCTTATGTAACTCAGATTTGAAACATCATAAACAAATATGTGTACAATGGTTCAAATAAGCTTCTTGCTCCAATAAACTGAGATGTTAATGATGAAGGTTCCAAACTCAAGCTTCTGACTGATCGTATCAAATCAGTGGGTGATGTCACGATGGCTATTTTCACTTAATCTATATGAATTATGACCGTCTGATTTTTTGGTTTTCTCTGTGTGTGTATGGATGGGCGGTTTGATATTATAAACCCACTGCAGTGTGGAGACAGTTTCATGCTCCGTCCATGTCGGTTTCCTCATGATGTCCGACACACGGCAAAAGCAAAAGTAAGACATGTTTAGGCAGACGTCGTCATCACATATAAACTGTTTTATTAAATAATTCAGTGTCAGTCAACATTAAAAAGACAGTCGTCCAAAGAGGATGGGCCAACAAATGAAATTATGATCAAATACTGCAAATAAAGTAGTTTTTCTGTTGATTCTGTTCATCTGGATGTTTTCAGTGGGAGAAACGTTTCGTCGCTCATCCAGGTGACGTCTTCAGTCTCAGCTGACTGCAGGTTTTTCTTAGATTTTTATAATCCACATTAATGTTCTATGCATTTTTAATGCAGCTAACACGAGCCACAGTTTTCAGTCACCGTATATTTTTCCAATTTTAAGAGAAAAACTAGGAAACATTTGTGACCTGGCCATAAACAATACTGTGCAAAGGGTTTGAGAATTGTTTTTATTTGCTCTTGCAGTAGCATCAGAGAGGAATCTGAGCACCCGCCGACACACTTTGGCAAAACAACATTTACTTATAAACAACTGCTTTAGCTGCCAGAAAATAGACAGTGAGGTCCTTATAGGTCGCTGATCTCAATATGATAAAACCAATATAAGAGTCTGTGAAAAGAAAGAGACGCTGATAAAAGTTCTTGAAGCACTGAACAGCTTAACGTCCAGGTAAGTTGACTGCGAGTGTACTTTTCTCCCACTGTGCTGTGACTAATGTTAACTGAGAAAGAATCGTCACATTACTTTTAGTACATTAAACACAGTAATCTATGTAATCCTGTTTCTGACCACTGACGTCTTTATTTCAAACCGGCATTTTTGTTGAGTGTCAAGTTTGATTTTGTGAAGCTGATTTTCTACACAGCCTTTGTGTACACGGCTGAACATGTGAGGGGGTGTGGGCTCGGCCAGTTCATCAAATAAAGCCCAGTAAAAACTGATGCTTATGAGAAAGGTGGGCAGCACGTGCAGCTTTTGTATTTTTTCATTCATTGGACTCCTTGATTGCATCTTCAGTATTGCAGTCTGTCAGTCTTGCTCCATGCATGACTCCATGCAAACAAAAATGTGTGGCTTCCCATTGTACGCTGCAGGTAAAGAAGCAGCTTCTTGTTTGGTCAAAGTGATATAAGCAACGTCTGCAGAGACACACGAGGACACGGACCGACAATGTTAACTTTGACTACCTCCACCAATCAAAGGACACACCAGAATCAGCATCAACCGACCACCTTACAGTGTCTGAGCTAGTTAATGAAGACAGAAGGGCTGGAGCATTATGAGATAATGTGTCTGCTGAGTAAATCTGAAAAAGGAGAAAAGGGTAAATGTTTAAGTATTGCAATTAATGTCAAATCATAACAAAATAAAATTCATTAGTGTGTTTACTAATGCTCTTGGTTGTCATGAATGTTTGGGATGAGAATAAAATCAGGAGATTAAAGAGATCCACGCTAGTTTTAAAGTTCTGTGAATCCTTCAGCAAGTGAACAGAAAGATCTGTGACTGAACTTTATGCCACAAACAGAGAACTCCTAATGAATGTATTATTTTCACTAAACCTGCAGGTTTTAGACGTGTCCTCAAACCAACACAGCCGATTTAAATGGCTAAATTAGCTCCTGCAGTTCTCCAGAGGCCTGGTAACGAACTAATCATGTGATTCAGGTGTGTTGACCCAAGGTGAGATCTAAAACCTGCAGGGACACCGGCCCTCGTGGACTGAGATTGCCCACCCCTGTTCTAGTTCCTTAGTATGGTTCCCTCTCGTGCCTCTGAGTTTCTTCTTGATTTCTTGTTTTTTATGTTAGTTCCCTTTAGGGTCCAGTCTTTCTCTTTCTCGTCTCGGTGTCCTGTCATCAGTGTCCCCGTGTTTACCTTCTTTGCCCCGGTCATGTTCTGTGTCTGTGAATACGTTAGCAGTCCTGTCCGTCTGTTCTCTCCCGTATTCATCTTCCTGTGTTTTGTCCCTTTCTCCCCCCAGTCTGTCATGTCTCCATGTCTGTTGAGTCCAAGTCCCAGTGTCAAGTTCATGTTCCTTAGTCTGAGTCTCAGTGTTCATCTGAGACTGTAGACATTGAAAAGTCCACAGGAGAGATGGTATCTGATTATATTTTCTCCAGAATTGTCTAAGAAGATGGAAAAGAAAAGCGTCCAGACTCCTCGAAGACGTTTCATCTGAGAAGCTTCTTCAGTTCTAAGAGCGGTGAGTGGTGGCGAGTCCCAGATTTGGCGTCCTATGGGAGTGTCCCCCCAAGAGGGTCATGGACCCCCTATTGATCCTCTACCTAATCACACAAGCCAAGGTGTGAAAACGGGTGTGGGTCACAATCAGCCACAGTGTCGGGTCAACCCACTGTGAGGCCGAGGGACAGCACCTGGCCACGTACAGTGATGACACCTGGGTCAAAAGGAAAACCCAAGAAGGGGAATCCTTCACTGAGCTCTGAGCTGAGCAAAGATGATAAATTTGCTTATCTTTTTGCAGAATATAGCAATGGCATTATGTTATATTAAACTGTGACTTTCACGGGTTAACCTGGGTGTGTTTCCTAAACCAGCAGCAGATGCTGAACAGCTGACTATTCTGTGAAAATAGTTAATCTGCAGATGAAAAATCTGAAACACAGAAAGTGGAACATGTAAACTGATCAACTCAAAGTAAAACACAGTTAACCTTAAATACCAGTGATACTCTGTTTACTCTGATTCACAACCGGAGGGCCTTTAAACAAATGAACAGTCGTGCACTACTTCCCCAGCTGCAGCCTCAATTCATCCATTATCTACCAGAAGTGCTGTCGAGTCTAAACGAGTGTGTGGTCTCAGCTTGTGAATTGGAGATTATTCATGTAAACTTCAGGAGTTGGATCAGACCTCACAGGTTCTCTGGTTATATAAACCCCCTGCACTAAAATCTGTTTGTTCTCGTTTTCGTGCCCCACTCTGCCTTTTTCAATTCATTAACCTCTCATTAGTACACGAGGATCTGCCTCCCAAACCGTAACTTATTCCTTCGGCAATTATCTACTAGAAATGCTGTAAAGTCTAAATAAGGCTACGGTATC